ACACACACGCACACACACACACACACACACACACACAAATAAATAAATAAATGAAATTTTAAAAAAAAAGAATTAAAAGGTAAGCCAGAGATGAATGCTGTATTTGAAACACATGTGACTACCAAGATGTTCATACACTAAGGATATATTATTATACATTTCTCACAAATCAATTAGAAAAAGATAACCAACAGAAAAGAGATAAAGGACCTTGCATAGACATTCAAAAACAAGATATCTCATCCCACACCACAAAAAAATTAAAAAGGGCCAGGGAGATAGCTCAGTGGCATATCCTGGGTTCAATCCATGGTACCACAAAAATAAAATAAAACAAAAAGATGGGCAACGCAGACATGGTGCTGTGCACCTGTAATCCCAGCACTTGGAGTTCAAGTCAGACCGAGCTATACATAGTGAGTTCAAGGCAAGCCTAGACTATATAGCAAGATCCTGTCTCAAAAAAAACAAAAAGCTAGTAGTCAAATTACTCATCAATCAGTATAAATTAAGCTCAATATCAGAATGGCTAAAATTGCTATCTACTGATGATACTGGTGAAGTATCCAAAGCATCCGGCACTTTGGTGGTAGGAAGAATGGCAGTTAGCACAGCTGCACTGGAATACTATTTGGTGATCTCTACTATCTATGAGTCAACCCATTATCTGGAAGTTTCCTCAAGAAATGAAAGGCTGTGATCACCAAAGACATTTACAAAAACATTCAGAGTGAAGTGATGTGTTTAAAGTAATCAGTGATTGAGGGCAAAAGAATTTTTTTATTTTTTTTGATTTTTTTTGTTTTTTTGTTTTGTGGAACTGAGGATTGAACTGACCCTTGTGCTTGCCAGGCAAGCACTTATTCTACTGAGCCATCTCCCTGGCCCAAAAATGGTTACTTTTGCTTGTTGAGGAGAAGCGCTTTGACCAGAAGACAATGTGAGGAAGCCTTCAGGGAAGCCAAAAACCTCCTAGAAATTCAGTCAGTCGGTGTGCGCATGTGGAAACTGAGCTATATGCTTGGTATATGTGTTGTTTGTTCTAGATAAGCCATACCTGAATTTTTAAAAAGAGGAAGGGCTGGGGTATAGCTCAGTGGCACAGCATTTGCGTGGCATGCATGAGGCCCTGGCATCCATCCACAGCACAATCAAGGAGTAGAAGGAGAGAAAGAACAGAAAAGAAGAAACAGCATAGCCTCACCTTTGGCCCTCCCTTCTTAGTACCTTAACCTCTTGCTGTGCCACCTCACTAAAATCTCTGTGGGGCACATATGGTTCTTTGCATTCTAGAAATGTGCCTTTATCATGTCTACTAAAGATATTCATTCTTCCTGGTAGCCATGGTGTCTCCCAAGAATTGCAGGGGCCTCTTTAAGAAGTAAGGGTCTTCTCCTAAGGTCTGCAGTGCACTTTCACACATATAGTGTGCTGGCCCACTTTTCAGCCCATCAGAGGCTCAGCCAGCAACTCCATCTCAAAGATTGTCTCTGAGATGTAAATGCACTTGGCAAGGGGCCACCTCTTCACCAGGGCCCCAAGCTTAAGGAGCTGAACTGTTACCTACTTTCAAAGATGAAAACTAGCGGATTTTCACCATAAATAGGACTTTTTATCTTTAGTTTCCAAAGACAGCTGCTAAATCTGTCACAGTATTCCCATCTTTGTAGACTGCATTGCTTCATGTAAGACCTCAGACCAAGGTTTTCATCTCTTCAGCTGTCTAGTACAAACAGAATTTTATTGTGACTGGCCAGGGAATGAAATGTGTCATATCTCCTGAAGATATGGGAGACAGTGGAGAATTATGTCTGGTTCATTAAAAACTCTTCCTGTCACTTAAGACTATACAATTATTCATGTGTATAATGTGTCTCTGGGAAGTAAAAAATATAGAAAAACTAAAAGGTATCTCCATATGTGTTAAAACGTAATCTTTGATTTTCTTTTCCCCTACCAAAAAATAAATGTTAAGGCATGACTTTGATTTTTAACAGGGTTCTTAGAAAGAGGGGGGGGAGAGAAAGAGAGAGGGAGGGAAAAAAGAGAGAGAGAGAGAGAGATTTCTAGTTAATAAAAGTAGAAAATAATGTAAAAACATCAGCTCACTACTCAGCTCAGTAAAATCTGACATATTCCCACACTTGCTTAGATCTTTTTTATGTAAGATAAATCACTATTTGTGGAAGCCCCCTGTTTTTCCCATCCTGTCATTATCCTTCCTCTGTGCTAAGAGGTGAACACTGTACTGATTTTGATTTTTACATTCCCATATGTGTTTTGGTAAATGTGTATATACTCACAAGTAATATGTAGTTTTGTTTTGCTTATTTTAAGCTTTATATAAATTGTACTATACATACCATTTCTCCTCTTGCCTTTTTTGCCCAAATGAATGTTTTTTGAGATTTACACATGAGATGTGTTATTTGCGTTCACTCAACTCTAGGTCCATATTCCATTGCATAAGTATGCCACAATTTGTTTATTCATTCTACTTTTTTTATAGACACTTATGTTATTTCCAGTCTATTGCTTGGCAAGGAGTGGGTACATGGAACATTTTTCTACATAGACAAGAATTTCTCTAAAGAATATGAGTTAAGAGCCTGCCAAATCGGGCTGGTGAGATGGCTCAGTGGTCTAAAGCACCTACTTAGAACAAACTTAGTAAAGCACAGGGACCGCGGTTCAATCCTCCAGCACCACATGCCAGCCAGCCTCGCCCCCTGGTGGGCTGAGCTGGACACACACACACACACACACACACACACACGCACGCACGCACGCACACATAAATAAATGAAAGAAAAAGGGAATATTAAAAAAAAAAAAAAAGAGCCTGCCAAATAGCTCAGCGGATTAAGCAGGTACAGGAGCTGGTGGTTGATACCCAAGCCTGCCGTGCTGGCCCCGCCCCCAGGGTGAGCTGAGATGATAATTGAGACTGGGTGTAGTGGCATGCTCCTGTAATCCCAGCTCGTAGGAGGCCGTAAACAGGTGGATCACTAGGAGTCTGATCTAGTAGTGAGACCCTGAACACCCTGTAGACTCTTCCCTAAAAAAAAAAAAAAAAAAAAAAAGAATATGAGTTACAATGCTATGTTATGGGCTATTTGCACCTTCAATTAAAAAAAAAGTTCCCAGAAATGGTTGAATTAATACTTAGTGTGCATTTCAGGGTTGGTGGCTGGATTCCTTGCTTGCTTGCTCTCTGTCTCTCTGTCTCTGTCTCTCTCTCTCCTCTCCCTCTCTGCCTCTCCCTCTCTCTTTCCTTCTCATCCCCTCTCCTTCTTCCCCAACCAAGTGCTAACCAAGTGCTCTATCTCTTAGCTTTATCCCTAACCCCAACACTTGTCAATTTTTTACTTTTTTCTTAAGGACAGGTCCTCATGAAGACTAATGTGGTGTAACATTCCTGGCATTATTCCTGACATTTGGTGATCATCCAGGAAATTGATACCCTTCCACAGAGTTAGCATTCAAGAGAACAAGGACCAACAAACAACAGGAAATGATGGACTATTGCCAGGATACCTTTAAATTTGGTTAAATCTCCTACCTCCTCACTAGCATGCAGAGACATTCAAAATACTATAGCAACCATTTTCGCCTAATAACTAAAAGATGTTTGGCAATTTTCAGTCCCAATGAGGGTATAGTGTGTGCTGCTGGCAGGTGTGAAAATAGCTACAATCCATTTGGAAGAAGAGTACAGTTTGTATCAGGAACCTTAAAATAGTCTCATACTTTGGCCTATCCCAGGCTCTCACCTGTAATCTCAGCTAATGAAGCAAAAAGATTGTGAGTTCAAGACCAGCCTGGGTAACTTAGACCCCTGTATCAAATAATACAAAACCAAACCAAACACTATCTCCTATGGAAATACATTGTGCACCTATAATATAAGACTGTCCACCTCAGTGTTTGTTATTAATAAAAATCTAGGAGCAAATTAAAACAGAATAGTTTAATATTTTAAGCTTATACATACTCATATGCTATTAGAATATTATGTAGCCATTAAAAATTATTTTTTATGCCAGGGAGATGGCTCAGTGGATTAAGCGCTTCCCTGGCAAACGCAAGGGCCTGAGTTCAATCCCCAGTTCCACAAAAAAAACTATTTTTTAAATACAATACTGCCAAGATGGGAAAATAAAATGCAAACATTTTATATATTAAGTGAAAACAAAACAGGTTTTTAACTATATATACACACAGAAAACATGATTCTAGTGTTCTTTTTTAAAGACACATACAGGGGCCAGGGAGATAGCTCAGTAGAATAAGTGCTTCCCTGGCAAGCAGAAGGGCCTGAGTTCAATTCCCGGTTCCACCAAAAAAATAAAAAATAAAATACATAAATAAAAATAGACATGGGGCTGGGGAGATAGCTCAGTAGAATAAGCGCTTGCCTGGCAAGTTCAGGGGCCTGAGTTCAATTTCCAGTTCTGCAAAAAAAAATAAAGACACATACACAGACCAGCAGAATTTTACCAAATTTGATTATGGTATCTTAATGTTGTTTTTCCTGGGTAATGAGAAATATAGTGTGTGTGTGTGTGTGTGTGTGTGTGTGTGTGTGTGTGTGTGTGCCCGCATGCGCATACTGCTAGGAACTGGACCCAAGGCCTTTTCTCTGAGCTATATCCCCAGTGCCGCCGCCCCCAACTCCCCACCATACCAGAGATTGAACTTGGGACCTTGCACTTACCAGGCAGGTGTTCAGCCCATTTTTTATTTTGAGAAAGTCTTGCTTAGTTGCCTGAGCTGTGCTTGAACTTGTGATTCTCCTGCCTCAGCATCCCAGCGTCCTGGGGTTGCAGGGCTGTGCCACCACACCTTGTTAGTTTTTTCTTTTATAGGTCTGTTTATATTCCAGGTTTTCTTCAATATGAATGTGTTGTAGGTATAACCAGAAAAATGAGGCAGTGGCATGGCTTTACAAGTGTTATATTCCTGTGAGGTGGCTAACAACACTCTGATTTGACCCGCAGCTACTGCTGGATACCCACTCCCTGAAGATGGTCCTGCTTGACCTTCCCTCCATTGGCTCCCAAGTGGTGAGGAAGGCGCCTGCCAGCTACACTAAGATTGTTGTGAAAGGCATGACCCGTGCCGAGATGATCCTCAAGGTGATGGTGGAGTCTGCTAAGGAGAGCTGGTTATATATTTGATCCCCTTATTCCAGGAAGCTTGGGTTTTGAAGGCAAGGAGGACATATCCCCACCACTCCCTAAGGATTGTCCACATTCCTAGCCTGATCTAAATAGTAGCCTCGTCAAATATTATTGCAAATCAGCAGATAGTTACTTAGGGATTAGTAATTCTTTCTGACAAATGAATTATCTGTTACCATGGGATTCCCTCATAATCAGGTTTAGCCAAGCTTGGGAGTGAAGTGCTGTTGTCATTGTGAATCCGTGTGTCAGTTGGGATCCTTTCACTTTTCAGCAGGAATTTCAGGCCCAGCTATCAGTACCTCCCTTCCGCATAAGCCTTTTTGGCTTTCTATACTTTGCACCTTCAAATGAGCTCTGAACAGATGCTGTAGAAGTGAATCTAATCAGCAAATGAGTTCTTTAAGGCCTCATCTAGCAAGAGATTGTGCTTGGGTGATGCAGCATTCCTGCAGCCCGCACACCTGCCTTTGATTTCCGCCTATACTGGGGAACAAGGGGAGGAGGCTAGAGCAGAAGCGGTGCCGTCCTGATGAGGCCCAAGAATCCTGGGCCTGCAGGCTCCTTAAGCTCCTTTCCCAGAGTGACTCAGTGATGGCAGGAGTGAAAAGTGGCCATGGTCTGCAGACATGTGGGACCCGGCCTGGGAAAAAGTGGAAGCTGCCTGCTGGCTTCCTTTCCCAGCTGGCTTATTTCCAGGAAGGAGAGTATATAGTTTGGGAACTATCTAGGGAGATAGTTCCTTGCCACCCATTCTCAAGAACTCAGAACAAGATCAAGGGGCCAGGGAGATAGCTCAGTAGAATAAGCACTTGCCTGGCAAGCTCAGGGTCCTGAGTTCAATCCCAGGTACTGCAAAAAAAAAAAAAAAACAAGATCAGTCCGCTGGTGAAGAAAGTCGAAAACCACTCTCTAAAATCAAATGGAAATGAATTCAGGATCATAATGCCATCTGCTTGTATATTAATTGAAAGTTTAAGTAAATGAGGTTAAATGAAGTTTCAGATTCTAGGTCTTCAAAAGTATGAGGCAGCTGGGCTGGGAGTGTAGCTCAGTGATAGAGTGCTTGTCAGATATGTTAAACCCTGGGTTTAATCCTAACTACTGAAAAAATAAAACAAAGACAGCTTTGATTTTTTTTTTTTTTTTTTGTGCCAGGGATCAAACTTGGGACCTTTTACTCACCAGGAAGGTGCTCGTGCCACTGAACTCTCTCCCCAGCCCCCTGAATTGTTTTTTTTTTTTTTTTTTTTTTTTTTTTTTTTTTTTAGAAAATCCACTTATATCAGTTCTCTTTGCTACCTGTTTCTCAGAAATAGAAGAAACAGATACCTTGTATCCATGAAATGCCTCTCATAGGAGACTTCTAACTTAGTGTTTCCCAAAAGGTCACAATGGTTAAAAATCTCCCAGCCAGGCCTACTGAATCACAATCCTCAGAGATAGAATCTGGCATTCTGTACAGCAACAAGCAGCTCAGGTGATCTGGCGACTGTTAGAAACATTGCTCTGATTGATGAGTAAGACTAAATAGACATCAGGCATCTCTGAGTTTGGGGTAACTGCTACTTAAGGGAACCTTGGTGGCCAGCTACTAAATGCCCTCCAACTGAGAGGCTCTCTATGGGTTTACTTTTGTCTCCTCCCTCCATAGGTGGTGATGGCCCCTCATGAGCCCTTAGTGGTGTTTGTGGACAACTACATCAAGCTCCTTACAGACTGCAACACAGAAACCTTCCAGAAGATACTAGACATGAAGGTGAACCTAGTGTCTTTCTTCCTTGACTCCTATTCCTGCTTCTCACACAGAGGAATGCCATACAGGCTCCTGAGGGCTGCCCAAGAATGTATGTCGCTGGCCCCACCCTGCATCTGGATTCCACAAATCCTTTCTGGGAGGCTGATCCTGGGCAGGTGGCTGCAGGATTCTGAGACGTCCCTGGCCAGCTGAGGACCTCTGCTCAGCAGAGGACAGCAGAAGGGGAAGAGGGAAGAGCAGGAAGATTTTCCTTCTCTACATCTACCTGTCCTCTCCCACCTCTTTGGCTGCTACTCAAGTACTTTGTTTATTCCTCCTCTGCTGTTCTCCAGGCTACTTCCCAGGGCTGGTAATTCCTCTGAAGAAAGCTTTTGTCCTTAGGTAGGGCCACCTGCTCAGCCCACCTCTTTTTCTCTCCTCAGGGCTTGAAGAGGAGTGAGCAGAGCAGCATGCTGGAACTCCTGCGCCAAAGGCTTCCCACCCCACCGTCAGGGCCCGAAGGCTCCAGTTCCCTGTCCCTGATGGCACCCACCCCGGAACAGGAGTCATCTCGCATCCGCAAACTTGAGAAACTAATTAAAAAGAGACTGTAGGAGCACAGAGGCACACTTCCTCCCTGTGACCCTCACCATCCAGTTTCTGGAAGCCCTTGACTGTCCCCTTTCAATCCCATGACTCAGATCCAGTCTTGAGACTTCCTGGGACATTGGGATTGTTAATATGTCCCTACGGTACCCTGTCTTAAATCCTGTCACAGTCAGAGAAACTGGTTATAAAATGGCAATTTCCATTATTTCTCATTCCTGAAGCAGAGGCAGCCTCGGGTGAGAGAGCTCTGTAGTTTGGTCACTTTCCAGGAAGGTGGAATTATCATGGGCTTCTGCATCCTCCCTTAACAGTCAGATCTCACATGGTTCCTGCTTCTACACCCTTGTGAGGTGACTTGGTTGAGGAAGCATGGGCCTTGCCCTTCCTCCCTACCACTGTTTGGGGTTTTCCTCCAGGCCTGAGTGATGAGGCCACAGATTGCAGGACAGGACACCAGCCTTTCTTTATGCTTTTTGGGTTTTTTGTTTGTTTGTTTTGTTTTGTTTTGTTTTGTTTTGTTTTGTTTTTGGCAGAACCAGGGATTGAACTTAGGCCCTTGCACTTATTCTACTGAGCCATCTCCTCAGTCCCCAAGCCTCTCTTTATGAAGGCAGTGAAAGCATGTACACTTTTCATGTGAATCTGTTTTCTGGGAATAGCATGTTCCTGGTACCTTTTATGTCATGGCCAGTTTCCATATGTTCTCCATTTCTTGGTGTTCTCCAGGGGATAGAGGCCTTCTCTGTCCTCACCAGGGAGGGCTGTATCTACCAGGGACTGTCTGCCAGTATCTTGTCTGCCACAGCCTCCTGACCTAGTATGAAAGCCAACCCAGACCTGACTTAGAGACCTAGTTCTGCTTGCTACAGGCACCGGGATAAGTGAGCAGATTATTTCCTCCATTTCATTATTCCCATTCTGCCCCAGAATTCTAGGGAAGAGACTGCCTTCTATATAGGAAAACCAGAATGGCTCTCACAAAACCTTTCCTAGGCTTTCTCTGTAGGAAGCCTGTATCCTCTGATCTTCCTGTTCATTCATTTCCAAGTCCAGAGTACTTTTGAACCATCTAAAACAACAGAAAGTAATGTGCAGTGCCACAGTGGCACATTACTGTGCTGCTAACTAGAAGGCGTCCCATCCTTGGACACCTAAGAGCAGAACGTTGTCATTACACGCCAGACTCAGAACTGGCACTACTCACAACACAGCCTGACCCTGCCTGCCCTCCCCAATTATCACCAGCTCTTGACAGCAGAACTCTGCGGAAAACTGCCCTGCAGAGCCGCTTCATTCCTTTCCTGTCATTCTGTGTCCAGAAACAGGCAACATTTCAGAGAGTCACCCCAGTTCGCTGGTCAGTTGAAACCCTTAGTGACCACTATGAGTGACAGCTTTTATCCAGATACTATATTTGTTGGACAGGGGAACTGAGAAGGAAGGTGGAACTCTCCACAGAGAATGCACATAACAGGCCTCAGGATGAAATTGAGATATCAAGGGCTAGGGTTGTAGCTCCATGGAGAGCACTTGCCTAGTATTCTTGAAACCCTGGCTTCTAGCACCACCCACCAAATATATATGTATATATCACATAACACTCAGAAGTAAGTTTTCAGGATGGAGCTTTCTAAAAAAGCCATAAAACCTGTGACCGTCATATAGTAGGACACCTCAGAGGGTTGAAATGTGTACCAGGAACATTCATTGTTTGTCCCCATCTGTTTTTCTAGTGTATCCACTATGCACTGTTTTCTTGCCTTTTCTATGCACCTTTATTTCTGACTATCCATCAATTCCAGCTTTGATTGTGTGTGTGTGTTTGTGTTGATCTGGACAGTGCTAAACACATACTCTACCACGAAGCTGTACTCGCAGCCTCAGCTTTTCACTTCTTCATCAGCTTTCAGCATGTTCTTGGCAATCAGTAGGGCTCCTATATATTCAACATTTCAAATTGGCAAATGCTGAAAAGAAAAAGTGACAAAAGAAAGAGGTGTGGCCTATAGTTGAGCTCTGGCAGGAAGAGATTCTGAGTTGGGCATGTGCAGGAAGGTTGGGGAGGTGGTTGCAGCACCCCCTGGGCACTAAAGAGAGGGTCCCTCTTCTTGGCATCACTCTGCTATGGTTATATGTCCTGCACTAACTGACAGGAAGGGGTGGTCTCCAAACGGCACCGCCAGTTCAGCCATCTGTTGCAGACCTTGGGGAACTGGGGAAGCCAGTGACTCCTGCACCTGGTTCTTGTCACTCTTGGTGTTTACAAAGCTACACTTCTTTTGGTTCACTCGCGAGTTGTTTTTTAGCTGTCTCCATTATGGCCTTGAGGTGTCAAGCTGCTGTTTTTCCCGGTTGGTGGTCACAGCCAAGGAAGTTGCTTTCTTGATTTATTACATTGTCAGTAATCCCCAAGGAGCTAACACATGTCAGTAGGAGTTATGTTAAATGTCTCACTGATGGGGTCTGAATACACTGTGTGATTTGTGTAAAGACGGTGCGTGTTTCTCACCTGGGGAGATACATCAAAATCACCTGGGGTTCTTTAAAAAAAAAAAAAAATGCAGTTGTCAAATCTTGAGTCAGTAACTCTGCAGTGTGTCCTGGCATGTAAGTTTATTTGATTTTGGTTGGGGTTTTTATTTTTTGATTTTGTTTTGTTTGTTTTTGAAACAAGATCCTGCAATGTGGTCCAGGCTGGCTTGAACTTTCTATGTAGAGGAGGGTGGCCTCAAACTTGGGGCGGTCCTCTTGCCTCACCCTCCCGGGTACTGGGATTACAGGTGTGTGCCACCATGCCTGGCTGTAGCATGTAGGTTTAAAAAGCTCAGCAGGTGATTATAGTTGTCTGTCAGTGTCCGAAAGGATTGGCTGCAGGACCTTCAGTGCATACCAAAATATGAGATGTTCGAATTCCTCGTATAAGATGAGATAGCATTTGCATATGTTCTAAGCACATTCTCCTCTATACTTACTTGATGTCATCTTTAGACTACTTACACTACCTAATGCAATGTAAATGCTACACAAAGTTATACTATATTTATGAGACAATGACAAACATGTCTGTATATGTTTAATATAAGCACAGTTTTTTTTTCAGATATTTTTGACCTGCTTGTGATGGAATCCACAGATGTGGAACCCACAAATACACAGAGGGCTGACTGTATAATGCTTTTCCTTGCTAAGATCCTTGCAGTAGAGATAAATGTACTTTATTGAAGAGATCTTAATAGCCCTTTTTCCTAGGTGTATATTTTTCTGGTTCTCAAAGGAAGTGTAGCTACTGTACAGTAGTCTTTGCTGATAGTTAACAGCTTTAGTGTTAAACTTGTGTTAGTGGTCTGAACCACATTAGGAATTGGGCTCTCCTACTGATTAGGATTGTTATTTTGATAACCACATCCCAAATAGCCTTCCTTATCATTGTCACTTCAAAGGAACATATATAAGGGACCATACGTTGATAAAATAATAACTGACAAACTCAGTGATTTGGCTAAAATTAGATACTATGCCTATCCCTCCCCAACATGTTTTCTCTAACCTTTAAAAAAAAAAAAAAAGCTTTGAGTGGCCAGGGTTCAATCCCTGGTGTGCCATGCCGTCCCCACCCCAGGGCACACTGAGACCACAATTGAGACTGGGCATGGTGGCGCAAGCCTGTAATCCCAGCTCTTGGGAAGCTGAACATAGTCGGATCATGAGTCTGATCTACATAGTGAGACCCCGTAGACCCTGTACTAAAATACAATACATTAATTAAAGCTTTGAATTTACTGTGTCATTAAAATAAATATTAGTAACTTATCAATAAAGAATTTACTCATTCTTATTACAGAGACTGCCAGGATACTGACTCCAAGGTGCTAGGCTGGACAGAGTTTTCCTTGCACCATATCCACCATGGACAGGTTGTTTTGATCTCCAGATTCAGTTCTGGAATCAAAGTTATCACTATTCACTCCCCTTTGGCAAAATAAAAAACTAGTACCAAGACCCTGCCCAGTGCCCAGATAAGGTGTGTGCTTTCTGTCAACTAGACTGGCTCCTCCATGCAGAGCAAATAGGAATAAAAGCTGAGACAAATGCAACAGTGATGGATTCTTAGGGGAGAGCAGGTCAGAGGCTGCCGGCTGGTTCAGGAGCTGTCACATGGGTCCATCTGAATTCTTGTTGGGTAAGGAAGTGTCCTTCCCTATTTACAGAACACTAAGGGAAATGCCAAAGGTGCACAGCTGGATCTGTAATTCCTCTCCTTAGGAAGAGAAGTCTTAAAATAACCAGCTTGCCTGAGGGTGAAGGCAAGTGTTCCACACTTCTTGTCCCCTCCAAGTCAGATTCCTAAAAATAAAATCATTAGAATTGACTGCACTGGGCCACTTAAGCATTAGCCTTGAAAATGTGAACCCATGAAAAGCTGGCAGATGTAACAAATACTCTTGTATTTTATACATTAAATGCCATTTCCACTCCCATCCTAGTATCTATCAAAATAGCTTCTTGAACCCTGCAAGTTCTATACCTTGGGGAACATCTAAATTTATTTAAAATAAAGAGGTTTTTTTGTGTGTATAAATACTTTGCCCATCTGGAAATGATTCATTGGTGCATATTGGAGAACAAAATACTGCAGTTAATTAAAGCATTACTGGATGTCATTTGCTAGAATGTCTTTTCCTACTGCTGACAGAAAACAGAAGGGACTCTAAGAAAGAGTTAGCAAGCCCATGAACGTTGGGGTCCACCCCTGTGACCACCCTCCTTGGTGAAGATCAGGTGGCGATGTGCCCTTTCCCTTCCAGTTTAAGGAGACCAGGCACAAGAAGAAAATGTGACAATCTGAGCCAGGTGCTGGCCTGTCCAGCTGTCATGGCAACACCATGTCTGGATGTGTGTAGTTTCCTGTTTCTGATTGGGAATCCTCCCTGCGCTCTGAGCTGCTACCCTATTGACATTCCCTTCCCTATGCTCTCCGTTCCAAACACAGCCTGCTTTCCCATGTGGCTGCCAAGCAGTTCCTCGCCTGTATACAGTAAGTTAATCCTGTTTCCTTCATAACTGGGTGGGCACTTTGCAATGAAAACTCTTGGAGAAGTCTGATGTTTCTTTCAACAGTGGAAAATCTGCTACAGCACTTCCACTAGTTTGGCTGCGTGGTCATTACCTAGTTTCCATTCGTCGTTGTCACCAGCCTCTC